TTTTTTGTTACGCAGTAACAGTGAAATTTAGTCTCTGTTATGTCTTTAATACGGTGAATACGACGATACGATGAATTATCACTTCATAATGAGGTATTCTATAGAAGAAAAGATAGACATGTTATCAGTTTATTTTGAAGCTGGGCAAAGTGCTACACATGCAGAAAGATTCTACACTACGGAATGTTAGTAAGAATTTAATTTCTCGATTCAGAAAGTGCTCTGATGCAAATGGTCGCCACATTAAACTTTTTCTGTAAATAGATATTAAAATTAAAATATCTTCTAAACTAATGATTTTTTCACATAGAGAGATTAATACTTTTTAGTAAGAAATATGAAGGAGTATCAGCTGATGCAAGGAGTATCAGCTGATACAATAAAAAATATATGACTCCATTTAAAAAAACATTAATGACCTTCATATGTCCTTTACACATCCACCTACAAAAAATACATACCACTAGTATTGCCCCTCTCAAAACCATTCAACTTCATCTAAAACATTGTTTGCTATGAGTAATACTAATGACGTAAATCTAAATGGCAAACTGTGGTGAGCCACCCTGCACATTTTAATTTAGAATAAAAAGAATGATTTCTAAACTCGTGAGTTCTGTATGATTAGTTATTTTTTAAAATAAATATTAGTGAATCGTCGACGCTTATATATCGTAATCATTGATTAAATTATATTCAAAAAGAGTTATACCTGAACTTTTGTTAGCAGAACTGGGGTTGTTAATCGTATCTATATTATACATACACACTTTGCTCGTTGGAGGACTTGGCCCCCCAAATCCCCCTATTGGTTCAGGATGCAAGTGCACAGGCTTTATAATACGAGCTGTTTTAACGAGGGTTCCTCATCGACAAGTTCCTTTCAAAGATGAAAATATTCGGTGGACATCGTCGTTGCTCGATAGCATCGAATGCTTCCCTCGCATTACATAAATTTACCTCGTACGTGTATCGAGAAATGGCATTCGGCTCGATTTCCGGCTGCATCAGAAGCGATGTAGCGCACGTTGTGAATGCCAGGGTACATCAGCTGTCCGGGTTCCTGTGCGGGAATTTACGCGAGTTAACTTTCGATGGCTTCGTAGCGAATCTCCTTTGAGATTGAAATACAAATGCCGCGGATTATTATTCAAAGCGGTGAACGAGAGTTGAGTTTCGTTTATCGTTTGATAAGTTTCGATTGCTTCGACCGCGACCAGTTCCTTCGACAGAATTCTGAACGATCCTTTTGATCCTTTTCGCCAATTCAAAGGTTAATCTGATTGGAGAAGTTTTGAAGTATGGACGTTGTTGAAATGTTTTGAATTATATTGAAAATACTCCTATTTAATTTTAAATAGTGGAATTATGGGTATTTGAAAATATGGAGATATCAGGATTTAGGTGAGAATTTGGACATTTTGCAATTTTGAGAAATCTGAGAAATTTAGACAGCTAGAGAAATTTCAGTAATTCGAGAAATTTGAGGAACTTGAGAAATTTGATTGCCTTGGAAAATTTGTGCAATTTGAGTAATTTGGAAAGCTGAATAAATTTAAGAAATTTAAAAAACGTAAGAAACTTAAAAAATTGGAATAATTTAAGGAATTTGAAAAACTTAAAAAAATTGGCAAATTTTAATAAAACAAACAATTTGAGTAATTGGAGAAATTTGTTTAATTTAAGTATATTGAAAAGTTTGGTAAACTGAAAATTAAGACATTTGAAAATATCAGAATTTTTAATTTCCAAAAATTTGAGAAATTTCCGAATTTTTGAATTTTTTAATTTTAGAAATATGGAAAATTTGAAAAACTGAAGATATTACTACTTTACCTTTTAACTTTTATACTAACCCGCATATAAGTTTAATATTTTCAATGATCGAAAGCTTGACATACTGATGCTATTTCAATAACTGCAATAAAATTAATGATATCGATTACTTCAATTAATTGCAGTTACTGTGACTTTTCAAACATAAACGCGTTCAATTAATCTGCATCTACATTCAACATTTTGTTGATGCAAATCTGCAATTTTGACACCACGGTAATCGATACGATTCAATAATCTGGACGATTCACGTATCTCGTTTATCAAACGTGTGGGAGAAATTTCACTAATTACGAATCAACCATTATCTATCACGTGTTCAATCAATTCGCAGGTTACTGCGTTTGAGTAATGATCGTGGTTGTTGTTCAACCGTCATACCCAATCAAAAAGAAGTGACTGCCAATTGCAATAGACTCTCGTTACGTTATAGAATGGGATTACAGAAACGAGGAATTCTCAAAATAGGAATTCTCAAAAGAGAAAGTGTGTCGAAATAATGTTTGGTATAATCGTCTATTTGATATATTTAGTATACTAGTATATTTAGAACATTTTAGTAAACAGTATTTAATAAATTCTTCTTAATTTCTGGTATGTAATTATACTGCATGAATTAATTAATAAACGTGTAGCGCCTTAAAAATATTAGTAAACGTGTAACACCTTCTAATATAATATGAAACATAATCAAATTTTAAACCAGCCTATTTTCGCCATGAAGAACAAAGTATTAACCCTTTTAGTACCGATCGAAAGAATTGTATCTAAACAATGAACCTAAAAAAAAACTAGAATAACTTACATTAGTAAAATTTTAGAAGAAATTAAAAAATAAATAGTGAATATGTACAAAAAAGTGAAAAATATAAAAATATGTACAAAATTCAAGAGGGAAATGAAACTTGAAAAAATTAGAAAATTAAAAAGTTCAAATATTACGAAACAAAGAGAAAATAAATGAATGGCAATTGTATTTCGTAAATGTTGCTAACAATGATATACAATTATTTTACGATACTAAAATGGTGCATAAACAGAATTTTAACACTTTAACTGCCACGTCAATCACATGTTGACAACGTTTAAATTTTTATATGAATTTACCACTATATTATTAAAAATTTGTTTATTTCCTTAGAAATACCCGTATTGATTACTTCGAACAATAAATAACAAATATTATAAAACATCGTGAAAATATTTGACAAAATTTGTTAAAAATGAAAATACTATTTAAACAAATTTTCAGCTGCGTCAGTGTGGCACTCAACAGTTTAAAAGTTGAATTTAAAATATTACCCTACAATGTATCGTTTAACAAAACTAGCTGTACCTCGCGGAAACACGAAAAAAGGGAAAAGTTTAAGGAAGTGAAAGGAAGTTGATCATTAGCTTCACTTGTTTCTCTTTGCTACCACTGAGTGTTCACGACACAGTAGGATAATTAATGGTGGTCAGAGATAACCGCTAAATTGGTAAGTTTGATCGTTAGAAGGAAAGTTTTAATAAATCGGTTGCAAGAGGAAGCGTGGTAAGAGATGGCTAACCCTCGCGATAAGGGATGAAATTATGAATGGAGGATAGTTGTGTCTCTATGCTGAAATAAAGTGCTTTTAACAATGATGACGAAATTTGTTTTAATGTGCAAACAAACAAACGAAACTTATATAACGAAGGACGCTGTTTTTATAAACATTAATGTAAATCCAGTTCACACGTTTATAAAAATAATTTATACGAGTACGACTCTCGTTATATTGGCACTATTTTTCTTATATGACAATATAACAATCCACTGCATGTATTGTTTAGCAATACGTATATTTAAATTCATTCAATTTGAATGCTAAACCTACCAACGACTTATTCTGAAATTAAAAATAAAAAATGAACGGATGATAAAATTATTGTGCATATTAATTCATCTTAGTGAAAATTAAAAAAGATTTAAAAATACATCTTAACAAATTTTTTAACTTAAAATAAAACAATTTGTAAAATCATTTGACTGTTTTAGTGGTTTGTTAGTAACAGTTTCAGATTGTTAGAAATGTTTAAAAGGGACTTAAGGCAATTAAAATTCAAATATTGCATGGATGATACAATCGTTATCCCAATACTAACAATAAGAAGTAATGTTGAATCGTACCAGACAGAGTAATTCTACTGGTAATAATTACACATGTCATTAACATGTACAATTATAATATGAAAATAGTATTAGTGTATATTTGCTAGTATGATTTATGGTTGATAGCATGATTAATATGCTCGAAACATTACTAGTTCTCCGTTAAGATAATTTTCCATTCACGACATATGTGATATACATATGAAAAAAATTTAATTTCTTGAAAATGTTAATATGTGTATTACAATACCAAAATTGAAATATTTAAATAAACATTTCGGTTTTAAGTTTCTTAAGTTTCTACATATGATTTTCAAATAACTGATATTACGAAATATACTCTACATATATTTACCTTAAAATATGCTCCATGAACATACCATAATTGTCTTTACATACGTTTATAAACAGCACAAACGTTAAATAAATATAACCAAAAAATATAAATAAACATTGAACGTCCAAATACTTTTGCTACGTAAAAATTTTCTAATATACTTATATAATATAATACATATAATGTACTTGTTAAAAATAATTAGTTTAAATAAATAAAATTTGTAGTGTTGGTAGTAAAAATATAATATTATATTTTTATAATAATATAAAAAAACATGTGTTACGTTAATTTAATTAGGTACAACTATACAGTATAGTAATTGTGAAGATACTATAACGTCCGAATATTAATTAAGCCATCGTAAAAACAGTGTATATTTGCTAGTATTACGGGACGAAACATTACGGGATAAAACAAAAAAGGGATGTGCTTTTTCAGTTTTATTCCCATGTGCGTCGTAACCGCGTTTGGACAAACGTTGATTATTTCGCAGGGTATAACGATTGTAGCAGGAGACGAGGGAGGATGAAAAGGAAGTGAACGAAAGCTAGGATTAAGCTGAAATTCGATGTCGTCTGCTCACCCTCGTTTTGTAGACCCGCTCGACGGCGACATTGTCGGTGAACGTTGGTTCCTGCCAGAATATTAAGCGATTCCGTTCACCAGGGCTTAGCCGCACTTCAAAGGACGTCGGGCATGTCGAAACTTTTGGATTTTCCGTGTCTGCGAATGGTAATATAATCAGCCGTGAGTATATGGCAAACATATTACTCGTTTTTGTGGGTTTAACGCGACGATTAAATCATTGCATCAAAGGCATTTAATCCGACGAGAGTTGAGAGAAATGTCGTGTGTGGACGAATGAGTTTAGCTCGAATAAAAGATAAAAATTAATACATATATATTTGTAATGCATCATCGTTATTATTTCGGTGAAAGAAATTCAATTAAATAGTTGAAATGATTAAATTTGTTAAAGTACGATACTCAGTAAATGAAAGCATTTAATATGGATATTTTATTATAAAATTTATTCAAATATTATATTTAATTAATATTATAATATTTCAAATGTAATACATGGTTAATGAGTTATTTAATAGGTACACATTTTATAATTCTATTTAAGGAAAAAACATTGAATAAATAAACCATGATACAATGAGAATTTCTAAATCTACCTTGAATTTTCTGAATCTACCTTGATTCAATGAGAATTTCGAAGTTAAATAATCTCACCAGTAGAATTTGATAAATATGCATATCTGACAAAAACTTATAATTCTTTAGAAATACCCAACTATATCAATGTTATTAAGAAAATTTACTGAAGTACTGTATTTAATAAATAAATCTTCACTCGATATAAATCTTTAAATTAAATAATCTGAGCAACAGAATTTAACGAAAAATAAAATTGTACAAGTAAATCTCGCTGCTTTAAAAGTATTTGGGAAGAACAATTATATTAAGAAAATTTAATAAAGAAACAGTAATTAATAAATAAATCTCAATTCATAAGCTTTCAAATTCAATAATTTTAATATTAAAATTTAATGAAAAACAATGAAGGTGCATGTGACCTTAAGCATTCAATTGAAAAAAAAATATTTAACAAATGATTCTCAATTTTTTTAAAGTATCCTAGTAAAATAATTCTATTGAGAAAGTTGAATGAAATACAATATTTAACAAATTTTTGATTCTTTACAAGTATCCAGTTATAATAATTTTACTAAGAAAATTTAATGAAGTATAATATGTAATAAATAAACCTTGATTCTTTAAAAGTACCCAGTAGAATAGTTTGAATATTAAAGTAAACGAAAAACAGTATTTATTAATATAATCAAAATTCATTTCAATTTGTCAAAGTTGTTTGATATCATAAGTACAAGATTCCAACTTTTCTGCTGTTTTTCCCTTGTTTTTCTTTTGTGTCTGTAAATATCGTGCACATTTTTCTTTGTTTCGTTCCTGCTGGTGTTTAAAGGACAGCCAAGGAAATTCGAGGAAGATGAAGATGAGATTGTACTCGGTTTATCGTGAGGACGAAGGTTTTTTCCTGCTGGAAGGTTTTCAGTTACCGTTTCTTCGTATTTTAAATTGCGTTCGTGGAAGACGAGCTGTGTTTTATGTTTCTCAGGGGAGATTGCAATACTTTGTGCTCATTATAAGAATCTTATGGACTTAATATACAATCTGCAAATAAAAAAACGTAGATATGAATACCTCCACTGTGTTTTCACTTGGAAAATGTTCAATTTGAAAAAATAGCTGTGTAAAAATAATTAATTTTATTACTATCTTCCCTTTGTAGAAATGAACTCCGCTTTTCATGTACACAAATTTTTATAAATGCGGATGATTTATGCGAACAACAGACAATTGATAGATGGATTCGTAAAAGCTGAGATTTAAAAAGTTTGTAAATACGAATAATCAAATTTTTCATTTCATTAATTTTGTAATCACACTTTTACATTTTCAAATATTCAATTTCTAAGGTGTAAGACAATTATTTTTCTAAATTTCGAAAATTTTAGATTTCAATTTTTGAAATTTAAGGAATTTTAGATACCCAGTTCTCAAATTTTCAGTGTAGTAAATTTTCAAATTGACAAATCTTTGGCCTTTGATTTTTCAATTTTGCAACATTTTGAACTTTAAAATTTTCAAATCCGTAAATTGATCAATTTTCAAGTATTTACATTTCTATATTCTCAAATCCTTAAATTCTTAATTTCCCAAGTTTTTGAACTTCTCCAAATTTTCCTAGCTTTCAGATTTCTAATTATGTATTTAAAAATTTCTAATTTTTTATAATTGTACATTTGCAAATTTGTAAGTTCACAAATGGGTAATTAGATTTATTAAAATTTGATTTTCAAATTTTCCAAAATATTTGTTTTCACATTCTTCACTATATAAATTACCAAATTATCAAACTATTAAATATCTAATTGTTAAATTGTAAAATGTCTAATTTTTTAAATTTCTAATACCTGAATGCCCAAATCTTTGATTTTCCGTCTTTCAATTTTTCAAAGCTTGTGATTTCCAAAATTTGAAATCCACAAATGTTTAAATTTCCAAATTTTGCAATTTTTAGTTGTGTAAATTTTCATATTTCCAAGTTCCATAACTTTCAATTTCCCATATTTTCAAATTGTCAAAACTTTCAAAGTTTTCAAAGTTTCAAAATTTCTAAATTTGCATATTCCAAGTTTTTTTTGCTTGTAAGTTTGTCAACTTATAAACTGGAGTATTTTGTTGGATTATAGATTTGTAAATGTGTGAATTCATATATGTTTGTATTTGTAGATTTACGAACTTACATACTCGCGAATCTATAATATATGTAAATATATAACTCTGCAAATATGTACCTACGTAAATCTGTACAAAAATTGTATGAATTTATTAAATCAACATCTATCTAAATTCTTAAATTTATAAATTTATGAATTAGTAAATTTCCACATTTCAAAATTAGATTTGTCATCAATGGCGGCAATACAACAGTGGTCTACTACACTGCTGGCCAAAATTAACGCACCACTTTCTTTAGCCGTTTCTTTCTTTACGTTCTGTTGGAGGTAGGACTTTGAAATTTTGAGGATAGTTGGGCACTTGGGTTATCTCAATGCTCCAGGAGTGCCATTGTCGCCTACCACCCCCTTGCGGTATCGGCGACCCCTTGAATGCTAGAAGGTCGGAAAACCGAAAAAAAAGGCTCTAAATTCGACAGAAAAAAAGAAAAAATCCGAAATTTTTTTACAGAATGAGGTTCTTTAGGTTGCGGCCTTT